GGGGAGGGCACGGGAGGGGAGGGGAGGGGAGAGAAGGGAAGGGAAGGGGAGAGGAAAGGAGAGGTGAATGGGAGGCAGTATGCTCTCTGGATATACCTTCCCTATCAGGGGAAGGTCTCTTAAGGAGCTTAAGGAATATATGAATGAATAGAGATAGATAGATAGATAGATAGATAGATAGACGTTAGATAGATAGATAGATAGATAGATAGATAGATAGATAGATAGATAGATAGATGATAGATAGATGATAGATTAGATAGATAGATGATAGATAAATAGATAGATAGATACCATTAAGTTAAAAACATAGAGGATTTCTCATTATCTTAAAGAATTTGTGAATACTGAAATGAAAAAAAAAGCTATAAATATTCTGTCTCCTATTGATCACAAAACTAAAAACAGAGAAAACTAAACTCAATAAAGCTACACATGGAATGGAGCTTAATACTGATGTCACTCAAGATTTTTTCCTTCTCCTTTCCAGAAATCAACACAGGAGAGACTTGCCAAGCCCAGAAGTTAGGTGATTCCTTCGTGGGAGTCACGGAGATGCCATCAGATGACAAACTTATAGCAATGACTTCTGCTCTAACATCTGTGACTCGGCTTGTAACATTGTACTAAGGGCTGACCACACTCTGCTTCCTCCTCCCTTTGTCACATGAACGTCCTGTACCACCAGCAGGTCTTGAGATGTGATAAAAATCAGGATAGTTTAGTTTGGCTGCTTCTCTAATCTGCAGCTTGCCGGAAAGAGCCCTGGAGGTAGACGCCATTTTAAGACAATGGGGCAGATAAGACCAAAGGACAGGATGGAGTCTTCCTCAACACCATCTGTCTCTCAGAACTTAGTTAAGTTTGCCTTTCTTCCTGAGGCTTCCTTTCTTTGCAACACCTTCTCCTTATCTGAGTATAAACAGGACTTGGTTGTTTTCTACATTCATCTAAGTTGTGGGGTGCTAAGTTCACAGACCAAGTTTTAGCTTCTTTGAGGACTCCCATAATGTCTACCACACTAGTAGGCACATAATGAGGGCTTCATATCATTGATGCAATTTTTTAAAAAATATTTTATTATTTTTATTGTATGTGTATGAGTGTAGTGTCAGCATGTATGTAAGTACACCCATGTTGTGCAATGCTGACACAGGTCAGAAGAGGTTGTCAGATTCCCTGGAACTGGAGTTACAGACTGTTATTAGCCACCATGTGGATGCTAGGAATCAAACCTGAGTCCTCTTCAAGGGCAGCCAGTGCTCTTAACTGCTGAGCCATCTCTCCAGCCCCCTCATCTCTTCATTTTAGTCCCACTTGTGTTATAGTGAAGCGAAAGATGAATAGCGTCAATTGCTGTTCTCAAACTCTTAAATACTATGCACATCATATAGACCATAAACAGAGCATGCTTAATGACTGGAAATGTTTGGCACAATAGGGTAGGTTTTTTTTTTGGTCTTTTAGCCCCAGCTGTCCTAGAACTTACTATGTAGATCAGGCTGGCCTTGAACTCACAGAGATCCGCCTGCCTCTGCCTGAGTGCTGGGATTAAAGGCATACACCACCACGCCGGCAATAGAGTAGGTTTTTTAAAAAATAATAATAATTTATTGAAAATTTCATACATGCATGCATATAAGGTGTTTTGATCAAATCCATGCCCATTCCCTCCCCTCCAACTCCTCCCATATCTCCCCATCACTTTTTTCTGATAACTTCAGGTATGCTTTTTTTTTTTTTATGGGGCTTTTGGCTACGCTAACTTTCCCCCCCACCCCACCCCCCGAAGAGGTAACCCTAAAATCTTTTAAGGATTAGATACAAGCTCCTAAATACTTTCACATTTTTGGCCTTTGGAACTGAGTATCTTGCTAAGAGGCCCAAGAACATTGTGTCTTTTAGCCAAGAAACTGGCTACTTTTCTTTGGGGTCTTTTTACCCTAACTGCCTAGCCAATTCCTACCTCCTATTCTTATCACACCATCCTCTGAAGAGGTTACCCAAATTAGCAATAGGGAATCAGGACTCAGACCACTCTGGCTTCTTCCATGTTGAACAGGGACGCAGGGTGAGGCAATTGGAGTACCCCTTTAGTGGGTCTATCTAAGAGACTCTCAAATTGCATAACTCTTATTTTGAGGAGGAAAAGAAAGTCTTTGATGTGAAGGAGAAGTAAAGGCAAGAGTAATTAGCATTCTAGACAGGGAACTAGAATAGGGTAGATTTTATAATGAAAAAATATAAATACTATTCAACTTCTTGTGCCTTTGACTTTATAATACAATCCCTAAGAACTAGATCCATGAAGTCTTGGAATACATTTAATTGCTGTAAGAGTTTTTACAATTCTCTTAGGAACTCTGATGAATTTCAGTAACAGGAAACTCTAAAAGACCCAGCTATAATTTCCACTGTCAAATTTGCCCAAGTGTAAAAGCATGATTAAAAATTTGCGTCAGCAATCAACCATCCATAACTCTAGTTCCAGGGGACCCAACGCCCTCTTCTGACTTCTGTGGGTTTTGCACAACATGAGCGCGCTTACACACATGCAGGCAATACATGCATACAACATAAAATAATAAATAAAATAAAAATGAAGAAACAAGAAAAATATATACACAATCCTCACATTTCAGGTTTCCTAAATGCAACATAAAATCAGAAATCTTCCTCCACTGTTAGTACTAAGGATCACAATCACAGTAGATGGTTTTGTTAATGAAAATTGGGATTAAAATAATAGCAGTCAGATGTAAAAACTACATAGGTGAGATTTTCCAGAGTCAACACATTTTGAATGAACTTGATCACTTTAGCTTCCTGCTAACAATACGTTGGGATACAAAATGGGGAAGTCACTTTTAATTTGTATTACCATTGGGCTAAAATTCTAACAAATCAAGTCTGTAATCTCCTACTGCATAGATTAGACACTAAAATATTAAACACTACCCTAAGTCACACAGGTAACATGTTACTATGATAGAAAAATGGATTATCTGTTCATGGATTTGGAAAAGGTAAAAATACCCTGTCTCTGGGACTGGAGAGACAGTTTTTGTAATTAAGAGCACTGGCTGCTCTTGCAGAGGACTTGGGTTCCTGCTAACAACCATCCCTAACTCCAGTTCCAGGGAAACTGATGCCCTCTTCCAGCCTCCATGGGCATTGTATGCTTGGGTACACTTACATACAGGCAAAGCATTCGTACACATAAAATAAAAATAATTTTTAAAAATGTCAAAAAATACCCCACCTCAAACATTCAAAGACAGTTGTAAAATTGGTATGTCCAAGTTTTAAAGCTCTGACCTTAAACCTTGATTCTTATAGTACTTTTTTATATATTTTTCTTGTTTTCAAAATTATACTTTAAAAAATCATTTTCCAGGTGGTAAGCAGTTTGAGGACCACACTTAAATCTAGAGTGATAGATGTGTCTATAGGGTCTTACACATTGACACCACCTTGAGTGACCAAGTGAAAGAATGTTCTTTAGTTTTTACTGCCAGACTCAGGAAGGAGACAAGTGGCAGCCCAGGATGATGCCAACAAGGGCAGGGCAGGGCAGTGACTTTTGCCTTTTAAGATGGTTCAAGTTGAAGCTCTGATCTGCAAGCAGTCTCTGTGGGACAGAGTGCATGTTTCTGTGCTCTACCCATCAGGTGCCCCAAATTCGGTCTTCATTTTATTCCTCTGAGAGTATTTTGTTACTTTTTTGTTGTTGTTAAAATAGGAATGTGACTGTCATAGAAACTAAGAGATATAAATCTTGCCTAATTGAATCATTGAGCTGGAAGTAACCTGAACAGAGACTGAGTTAACCTAGGGCGGGGATGAGGGGAGCGCGGGATTGGATGACAATAAAATATGAAATCCAACTCCTAGTTTTTGATTAAATATTTGCTTATTTTATAAGTCGCATTGTTACTCTTCCAACGAAGAGCCACTTGACAGAGGATGCAGGTGGGGTGGGTGGACATCAACCATTAAATACTGATAACTGAATTTAGACATGGTCCCTAAACCATATTTTCACCTCCTTCCGAAGACTGGAAAGGAAACAATGATACTGGGGGGCCCAGAATCCAACACAAGTCCCCGCTTACTTTAGTACTACTGGAAGCCTCTCTCCAGGGTCCCCGCAACCTTTCCAAGCAGGCGGCGGAAAGGAGCGCAAAAGGGACTTCAGGAAGGCAGGCCCCGCACCCACCATTCCTCGCGGCCCAAGCTATGCCCATAGCAAGTTACTCGGGGGTGCACACCTGAGAACCCTGGGGTCCTTCGCTTGGGGGACACTCCTAGGGGACATAAGGCCCGGTCCCTCGGGTCTTTGCAGTGCAACCCAAGCTCCTCGCGAGGCTGGGCACCCCGGTCCGCAGGCTGGGCAAGGGGCCCGGCGGCCACATGGCGCTGGGGGAGATGGCAGCTGCGCTTTGTCTCCGGCAGGGCGGGTGAGTCACCGGCCCCCGCGGTCCCAAAGCCGGGCGAACGCTGGGGCCCAGGCGGCCGGGCGATCCAGGCTGGAGCCGCTCCGAGACGGCCGCTCCCTCCTCCTCCTCCTCCTCCTCCTCCTCCTTCACCTCCTCCTCCTCCTGCGCCGCCTCCGTGTGGTCCCCTCCTCCTCCGCCCGCGAACTTAGTCAGCGGTTCGCGCAGCCGGGCGCCCATTGGCCGGCAGAACGCGCCGCGTCACAATGGAGCGGCTCGGA